TGAATAACGAAATTAGTTAGCTTCCTAACTACATTATTAAAGAGGAGCTGTCAGAAGGTAGATTGCACCATATCGTTTACTTGAACTATATATTGTGTGCTTTTTCATCGTTATAATTATCTGCTATCTGAAGTAACGGATAAATTAATTTTCTACGTAATTATGAAATCGAATAAAAAATACTGAAACTAGTTAATTTTCACATATGAAAATACACTTTCTCAAAAAAATATTCAATTGGTCCGTTCAATCCCTTAGGGGTAACAGCTACCGATGTTACTTTTTTGACAACTAGACAACCAGAAATTTTTGCTGAAAAAATAAAAAAATAGGTTTCAATATTTTTTGACAAACAATCAAGAAATGAAAAAGATAAATGAATTCTTGAATTTTTTTTTTCAAATATGTCGATTATTCTGTTTTATTATTGACAACATTAATTGTCATAAATGAATACATTGATGTAATATTTGAACAGTTATTATAGAATTCTAATTATCCCCGGAAATGATGATTTTTAGAAAAAAATAGTTAATTATTTGTAGCTCAAAAATACATTTGTAAATAAATTTTTGGTAAAAATAATATTATTGTGAAAAATAATTTTTATAATAATAATAATGAATCAATCCAAGCGATAACTGACGAAAACATCATAATCAGTTAATAAACAAAAAAAAAGGCAGAAAATGTTATTTGATCAATAGTGCATATATGAAAATCTATTGTCCTTATTTAAAAAAAAATAGTAAGAAATAAATGAAAGAAATCATATATCATCTTACGCAATATTTCATTTGATTCAATTTTTGTCCTCACAAAATAACATATACTCATTTTTATTATTTTTATCACCATTTGAGAATAAATTGTAGAAATCCATTCATATGGAACATTTTTGATCGAATGAATAATCGAAAAAATGAAAATAAACATATTTCTCACAATAATAGAAAGCAGTATTTGATTTTCCAAAAACAAAATGATTTCACAATAATGATGTTTTCTACTAAATATAAACAATTGATTACCGAATGAGTTCTTGTAATGCAATGAAAATTATTTTGAAACTTTTTTGAAAATCATTCCATGAACGATTCATTCGTCAATAATAATTTTCAAAACAATGAAAATAATAAAACCAAAAAAAATATGCATGTAGCTTTTATTGATCAGGAATCTATTTTTCATTTTTCACTATTTTTTCCTTCCTTCAAAGAATAGCTCGAAAAAAATTCCGGGCTCTCATTTCAAAAATAATTTTCTATATAAACTTTCAATTTGATGAAAACTGTCATTTTATAAAATTTGAATCAGGAGAAAAATTTCATAAACAGATAACATCGATTTATTGATTCCTCGAATGCACGAAATGCGATCATTTGCCTTACATACTTACCCAAATAAAATGGGTTCTTGTTTATATTCCTTATATTTTTGTATATTTTTTCTTATGCTCCTTCAACCGCAACATTACATTACTCAAG